GAAAAGTTTTGACCAACCTAGATAGCATATTAAAAAGCAGAGACATTACTTTGCCAACAAAGGTCTGTCTAGTCATGTATGGATGTGAGAGTCGGACTATAAAGAAAGCTGAGTGCCAAAGAATTGATGCTTTTGAACTGTGGTGTTGGAGAAGACTCTTGAGAGTCCTTTGGACTGCAAGGAGATCCAGCCAGTCCATCCTAATGGAAATTAGTCCTGAATAATCATTGGAAGAATTGATGTTGAAGCTGCAACTTGAATACTTTGGCTATCTGATGCGAAGAACTGACTCATTAGAAAAGACTGATGCTAGGAAGAATTGAAGGCAGGAGGAGAAGGGGATGATAGAGAAAGAGATGGCATCACAGACTCAATGGACATGAGTTTGAGTAAACTCAGGGATTTGGTGATGGACAGGGAGGCCTGGTGTGCTGAAGTCCATGGGGTCACAAAGAGTTGGACACGACTGAGCGACTCAACTGAACTGAACTGAATTATACCTGTGAAACCTGCATCTATCTGTTCATAAAGCACCCGTCTTCATCAGAGGGTAGGCTGACTATATGAAGAGGAGAAGGCTAACCCATGGTTATTACAGTCCTTAGAGTAGTTGTGGAAAGGGAAATGATTTGCTTCTGATTACATAGTGGCAGAGCAGACAAGCATTGGTGTATTTTGTGAGACAAGAACCTGAAAGACAGAACTAGTTGTTAACAGAAAGAAGTAACACATCAAGGAACTAAAGCCTTCTCTCTTAGTTTTAAGGCCACTATTACCTTCCTTTCTCCTTTCTTGTCTCCTCTATGTTTGCACTTTAAAAAACAGGCCATTTAATGTAAAGTATGATAGGTTCCTGGTATGATCATTATAGATGGCTCAGTGGTAAAGAATCCACCCTCACTACAGGAGGCGTAGAAGACATGGGTTCAATCCCTGGGTTGGGAATTTCCCCTGGAGCAGGAGATGGCACCCCACTCCAGTATTCTTGCCTGGAAAATATCATGGGCAAAGGAGCCTGGCAGACTGCAGGCCATAGGGTTGCAAAAAGTCAGACACACAGAGTGACTGAGCACACACATGCACACACATGATCATTATAGAAGCATTTTCTACTAATAATCTGGATTACCTGGTGATCTTACTTTTTGGAGCTATCAATGTTATCAAAAATTAATATCACATTTTAAGTATGAATCTAAATATCCCCTAACATTTGTGAGGATTGTGGCTAGAGGACAAATAAGGTCCCACTTAACAGATGTGTCAATACTTAAAAGCTATAACTCAAGCTAGAAATACTAAATTATGTTCTATCCTTCCTAAAGATAGGAAGGCCAGGTTTGAAATATAAGTTCTCAGATCCTCAGAATTTTGTATAAGTACTGCACCGCTAATGGATGGGCCGCTGTATCTCCACTTGATCCTTGAAATTTTGAGTGGGAAAGTCATGGTGGGGCAATGTCAGCCCTTACTCAATGGCCCCTTTCACTTCTCTTTCTATGCCCTATTACATTCTATGGTGCATATGACCTCAAACATGAGTGTGAACCCCTCATCTTGTATATTCAAATTCCATACATATCTGCAAACAGTTGACCCTTGTCTGCATCTTGGGCCTGGGGTGAGCACCTTGGTGTCATGATCTTCCTTCAGGAGGATGAACCTGGGACATAGCCGGCACAGGCTCAGGGCATTTGGGAGAATATTCCTGGTGTAAATTACCCAGAGTGTAGTTTAGAAGGGAGATCCTTTTGCCCTGTGGCTGCCTTGCTCAGTGAGGATGGATGTGGTAAGAGAAGGCAAAGGGGTCCCTCAAGTATGGAGTCTAGGAAAGAGGCACCTGTTGCCTGTTTCTAAGGACAGGAGTGAATGAATATATTGAAAATTGTGTAAAGAGTGAAATCACATATAACATGAAGTGATTTAGTAATTTCTTAAAGCTTGACTCCTTTACAAACAACTAGTACTGGGTATGAAAACAGTGGGAAAACAAACTTCTCATTATAATTAGCCATTAAAATTTTATGAGCACAATCTCATAAGATTAGAGTTAGGAATTTCTGATATTTTATGAAAGGTACATTTAAATAATAGATTTTGAAAAAACATTATAGGACTACACCAGTCTCCTATTTTGAAATAGAAATGTGAACATCCTTCATAGCTGATCTTCATCTTATATTTAAGAGTCTGTTTTATAATATGAGAGTATGTGTGAACATAGAATTATTAATAAATTCTCACTATAAAATACAAGTGCATTTCTATCAGCTTTGCCTTGGTTTGTTTTCTTTTCAGTTTTTTATATGGTGTCAGTTTTTTCAATTACTTGCACAGAGATAACAAAGCTGGCAAAGAAGGAAAATAATCTTTTCCAAGAATCAATTATATCCTAATTTCAGAGAAATCCCAATGTATTAGTCCAGAAGATCAAGTTCACTCATGATAAATTGCTTCATAGAGTAGATTCACCAAGACAATTGATATTTTTTAGGACTTCCTTTGTTTCCAGTAGCAGTATGTATTTTTCAAACATGTATTATTTAATGTTTCTACATACAGTTTTTTCTTCTTCGTGACTTTTTACTTCCTTCATTTTGCTGAAAAACTTTAAAAATTTTACCTACTGACAAAGGATTATATGTAAGTCGTGGTTCCTGATTCTGAGAGTATAGAGTAGATTATACGACTATTCTGTGCTCTAAAAGACTGGTTTTAGGTAAGGGTCAATATAGAAAGCTCTGCTTCTTTGTATATTTGACATTTTTTGAACATTTATTAGATGCATATCCATTGTCATAGGCAATGCATGGGAATATAAACAGAGAAATAATAATTTCTGAATATTTTTCTGAATAATAATTTTTGAATAAAAACCTATATCAGTAATTCTCAAAGTGTGGTCCCTCAACAAGCAGCATCAGCAACACCTGGGAATTTGTTAGAAATGGAGATTCTTGGGTCCCAACTTAATGCTACTAGAATCAGAATTTTTAGGTGCAGAGTACAAATTTATTTTTATTTATTTGACAGTCCTTTCAGATGTATCTGATGCATGCCAAAGCTTAAGAATCACTGTTCTGTGTATTATTGAAAGTTGTTAAATTAGAAAAGTATATTTATAGTCTAATCAACACACATTTATTTAACACCTCTTAAATGCCAAGCCCTCTGGGTATACAGAATGAAGTAAGAAATGGTCCCTGCCCTCAAAGAGGTAATAGTCTATTTGGGCACATATACCTAATGTGAGCCAAGCTTTGTGTTAGCTTTTCAGTGGAGTATATGAGAAGAAAAAGTGTATATATACACATATGTATGTGTGTAGATATATATATGTATATACACATATGCCAAAGAATGCTCAAACTACTGCACAATTGCACTCATATCACATGCTAATAAAGTAATGCTCAAAATTCTCCAAGCCAGGCTTCAGTAATATGTGAACTGTGAACTTCCAGATGTTCAAGCTGGTTTTAGAAAAGGCAGAGGAACCAGAGATCAAATTGCCAACATCTGCTGGATCATCGAAAAAGCAAGAGAGTTCCAGAAAAAAACATCTATTTCTGCTTTGTTGACTAGGCCAAGGTCTTTGACTGTGTGGATCACAATAAACTGTGGAAAATTCTTCAAGAGATGGGCATACCAGACCACCTGACCTGCCTCTTGAGAAACCTGTATGCAGGTCAGGAAGCAACAGTTAGAACTGGACATGGAACAACAGACTGGTTCCAAATAGGAAATGAGTACCTCAAGGCTGTATATTGTCATCCTGCTTATTTAACTTATATGCAGAGTACATCATGAGAAACGCTGGGCTGGAAGAAGCACAGGTTGGAATCGAGATTTCTGGGAGGAATATCAATAACCTCAGATATGCAGATGACACCACCCTTATGGCAGAAAGTGAAGAAGAACTAAAGAACCTCTTGATAAAAGTGAAAGAGGAGAGTGAAAAATTTGGCTTAAAGCTCAACATTCAGCAAACTATAATCATGGCATCTGGTTCCATCTCTTCATGGGAAATAGATGGGGAAACAGTGGAAACAGAGTCAGATTTTATTTTTGGGGGCTCCAAAATCACTGCAGATGGTGATTGCAGCCATGAAATTAAAAGACACTTCCTCCTTGTTAGAAAAGTTATGACCAACCTAGATAGGACATTAAAAAGTAGAGACATTACTTTGCCAGCAGTGGTCCGTCTGGTCAAGGCTATGGTTTTTCCATTGGTCATGTATGGATGTGAGAGTTGGATGGTGAAGAAAGCTGAACGCAGAAGAATTGATGCTTTTGAACTGTGGTGTTGGAGAAGACTCTTGAGAGTCCCTTGGACTGCAAGGAGATCCAACCAGTCCATCCTAAAGGAGATTAGTCCTGAATGTTCATTGGAAGGACTGGTGCTGAAGCTGAAACTCCAATACCTTGGCCACCTCATGCGGAGAGTTGACTCATTGGAAAAGACCCTGATGCTGGGAGGGATTGGGTGCAGGAGGAGAAGGGGATGACAAAGGATGAGATAGTTGGATGGATCACCGACTCAATGGACATGAGTTTGGGTAAACTCCGAGAGTTGGTGATGGACAGGGAGGCCTGGCGTGCTGTGATTCATGGGGTCACAAACAGTCGGACACGACTGAGCGACTGAACTGATATACACATATGTATACATATATATACCCATCCTGATATATATATACATATATATCATTATGAGTAATATAGCATTCAAAGAATGATAAAAATGTTATTTTTGAGAGAAAATGTTTCAAAATGATTTAAAATCATTGTGAATAATAGAATCACAATTCTAATATTGTTATTTTTTACTTTTAGAATAAAATGTATTTGAATTTTTATTTTATTGTTGAGAAGTACACTTGTGACTAAATGGGAATTTTTTGCTCATTGTTTTTCAAGGATTATTAAGGAGGTTTACAGTTGACCAAAAGTGAATTGTGCTTTAATGAGAATAATCAATAATATTTCTTTTTTAATAGTTGAAAGAAGAAGAAGATATAATATTAACTACCGAATCAAGGAGCTTGGCACTCTTATTCCAAAGTCTAATGATCCGTGAGTTCAATAGTCATTTCTTAATAATGTAATGGTTTCAATACTACACAAAACAGGTGAGAGGGAAGAGGTGGAGGGATGAACCAATGCTGAGTAAAGTAAGCAGCTTATGGTGAAGACAAGGCTACTACTGGTGTCATTTTAACATATCTATCAAGGCTGATAATTATTCAACATCAGACATCAAAACTGTTACTAATGCTTATCCTATTGAGCTTTGGGAAATAAGTAAATTATTTCTTCTTAGTACATAACAAATCTTTCTGTATGACACCAATATTTGCAAATTTAGTCATAGTAACATATTTTCATGATATCAACTGAATCCTCAATTTATAGTTATAGCAATTCTTCCAATTTAAGATTTATGTGTACATGAAAATTGGAATGTTGAATTCTCAGATGTTCCAAAATCCCAGCAAAAAATATACAAGCAAAAAATAAGAATTGTAAGAACATGCTGATTGATATTAGTCAATAATTTGTTATTGTAATTAAATTTTCAGCTAGGTTTTGATGCCATATAGTCACAAAGTCAGTTGAACTAGATGTTTGAGGTTGTAAATATCAAGAAATAGTTGATTAATCAAAATGTCAATTTACCATGTTTCTCTAAAACCATGAAAACATTGTAGTATTAATGAGGAATTGAAAAAAATGTTTTGTTCAGACAGAACTGGACTCTCCAAACACTGGCATTATCCATTATTCAGAAATGATGTTTGATTAAGTAGTTCTTGTGAAAAGTGAAAGTACTCTTTCCTTAAATGCAAATGTGCTAATTCATTTGGATGATTCAATCATTTGTAATGGAGGAAATGCCATATATTTATTCTTATGTGCATAGTAGATAATGAAGGCTTCTTGAGTAGAATGGCAGAAAGAACACTGGATAGGGAGTCTGAAGAGCTTAATCTTGGCTAGGATCCACACTAACTTTTCAAATCTTTTGAAGGTCTCTCAGCATGCAACTCTTTCTATTAGCAGACCAGACACCCATTTTCCAGATAAAACTTTAACACTTAAAACATAAATGCACATTTATTCACCAAACATTTGATATAAGGTCAAGACTTTGTTGTCTGAATATGTGTTTCAATTTTCTGGCTTACATAAACTGCACAAAAATGTACAGTCTATTTTAATTTCCTACAGATAAAACAAAAACCTGAATGCCAACACTTAAGTGTTGATGGATTTTTTAAATGATTGCACACTAATTTGTAACAGCATATTTTTAGCAAATTATCTTACTGACATTTTACTTTATTTTTTCTGAGGCTTTTAATATACTTTTCCTAAAAACACAAGAGCTGTTTTTATAAATGCTTTTTCTTATTTTGTATTTATATTTCATTAGTTAACACATATAATTTAATTATACTATCACAATAATAAGAACAATGGGCATTCATTTAACAGCCTGTCAGTAAGCACTGTCACCGGAAGGATAACAGAAGTACCTGGGTGTCTCAGAAGGTAGCCTAGTGGCCTCTATTATCTACTTTGATCTGACAACAGTCAGTGAGCATCACAAAGGGAATGGAGAACATTAATTAATCCTGAAAGTGACCAGTTAAGTCAGTTAAGAGAGCTTCTCTTGTAATTGATAGAGCTAACCCATAGTGCCAGGGCCAGGTTATATGCAAAAAAACAAATGATAAGACTGTAAGATTAAACTATGAAGCCTGACTGAACATGTTTTGATATCACCATGCCTATAAATCACCAATTATGGATGGAGTTTTATAAAAATAAAATAATATGTATAACCTCAAAAATGATAAAGTTTATTTGAGGGGTAATTATTACTGTATATTTTTATAGAGTAGCTATGGCTATAAAATGGCTCCTCTCTGGTTCTAATTCATTGTCAAGAACAAGGGATAGCAAAAGTTTCATTGTCAAGACCAAAGGATGGCAAACTTTTCCTTTAAAGAGTCAGATAGTAATTATTTCAAGCTTTGTGAGCATAAAACCTCTGACAATTATTTAACTCTGCCATTGTAGCATGAAAGCAGACATAGACAATATGTATATGAGAGAGGATGACTGCATCTGATGAAACTTTATTGACAAAAGCAGGCTGTAGGCTGATCTGGAATATGGAAAATCAGTTTATCCATAATCACATCTGAAAGGGACCATAGTTGGGGAAGCATCATTGTAAGCCTTCTTAAGTGGTTTTCTCTTCTTTGTAGATTTCAGAAAGGAGAATTAGTAATTGTTTTAATTCTATTATATCATATAATATGTAGGCACTGGAAATATAAAGGTATTATATATTATACATGTTAGGAGGATAGTAATACCTCATGAAAACTTTGTTGCAATTTTATGTACAAAGAATACCCTAGGTCATAATATATAAAACACATTTCTTATGGCAGATGCATTTGAGAGTGGGAAAACCACAAATTTGCAAAAACTGTGCTAAATAGAAGAGAGCTAGGGCCCAACTTCTAAACACATGCGTTTGGGCAAGCAGAAAGAACTCTGAAGCTTTGGTTGTACTGGGTCAGCTCTTTTTCCGTTCTTGTCTTGTACACTCTCCGGACATGAGAGTGGACCAACCCCCATAAGAGTGGTCTAGACCTGGCTCAGTTTCCCTCTTTATATCTTTTGTTACTTCCTCTTTGGTAGTTCTGGGGGCTTGATTGGTTGCGCTTCATGCCAATGAGGCGTGAACCAGATACCAGTCAGGGAAGTGGGTAAGACATTATGCAAATGAAGCATGACCTCGGGCTCGAATCAGGAAAAGGAGTGTCAGTATGTTCTCCCATAACTGTTTTTGACCACTGTTTTGGACTGCCGTTTTGGGCCCTGTTTCCCTCTTCTAACTAACCAGCAGTTCTAAAAAGGCTCTGAGTGCCTTTCCAGCTCACGACTGGAATAAACTTAGGATTTGGTTTAGGAAGGGCTTCTCTTGTGGCTCAGCTGGTAAAGAATCTGCCTGCAATGGGGGAGACCTCAGTTCGATCCCTGGGTTGGGAAGATCTCCTGGAGAAGGGAAAGGCTACCCACTCCAGTATTATGGCCTGGAGAATTCCATGGACTCTGTAGTCCATGGGGTTGCAAAGAGCTGGACACGACTGAGTGACTTTCACTTTCACTTGGTTTAGGAAATGAAAGCTAATACCGGAAGGCGTTTTGAATTTTATGAAGTTGCCATTTTTGTGTATCAAAAACTTTCAGAAATTTGTATTTCTTTCTTTGCTGGATCAAAATAGTATGGTCAGAAGGGAAAAAAATAGTAAACAGTTATAGTTGAGATAAATATGTTGAGAAAATGAAATGAAAAACACACTACCAGGGAATGATAATATCTTAACTATTAGTGAAAAATCAAACAGAACTAACAAATAAAAAGGTGAAGCATTTCTACAGATATGTGGTAGTGATCTACTTCATATTTGCTTTTTATTAATCACATTTACAAAAATCATATTTGTAAATATAAAAATGCTAGCAGAGCATGCATTGTGCTATCAAATTATTATTTTTTCTACTTTTTTTTTTTTTTACTACTTTTTTAGATATAAACCTAAGGGGTTTTTTTCCTACTAAACTGATTTTTTTATCTTCTACAGTCAAAACTTTCTTCTGCTCTTGTGTAAGAGTGGCAGTTGAAGTAGTAAATGAGACCTAACAAGACTTTCTAAATCAGAAGTTATAAAATGTTGATCAAAGAAAGAAAAATCAGACCTCTCATGATGTTTGCTTTCTTTTTTATTTTTGTAATGCTTTTAAGTGAATGTGTACTCCTAAGATGACAACAGATCATACATTTCCATAGTTTTGCCTGGCAGCATTCCTACTCTAACTTACATATTTCTAATACCTGCTTTAACCCTACAGACATTCAAGGTTTTAACTTCCTCAAAGATTAAGTTCTTCAAAATAAATTATTTTGTAGAGAATGATAAGCCACTATCAACATTCACTCCTTAGGCAAGTCTTTGTGTTAGTGTCTATAGTATACAGTCATATATAATGCTTTTAATGCCTAGCTGCTTGAAATTATCTTGGGAGATATAATTAATATATCTCCTTAATATATTTGGAAAACAAAATATTTTAGGATGAAATCTCATACATTAAATTGGCTTTAAAATAGAGTGAACTTTTAAAAATTTAGTGAAATGACAACAAATAGATATTGTAGGAAAACCTTTTGTGTGTTTTCCTTTTTAAAAAATATGATTGATTGATTTGGGCTTCCCAAGTGGCTCAGGGGTAAAGAATCCACCTGCAAAGAAGGAGAAACAAGAGACATGGGTTTGATATCTGGGTTGGGAAGATCCCCTGTAGGAGGGCATGGCAACCCACTCCAATATTCTTGCTTGGAGAATCCCATGGACAGAGGAGCCTGGCGGGCTACAGTTCATGGGGTTGCAAAGATTCGAACACAACTGAAGCAATTGATCACATTTATTGATTTGGCTGCATCAGGTCTCAGTTGTGGTGTGCAGAACTTAGTTACCTCACAGAATGTGGGATCTTAGTTTCTTGACCAGAGATTGAGCCCGTATCTTTGGAAGGTGACTGCTTATCCACTGGACCACCAGGGAAGTACCACTGTGTGTTTTCTACCAAAACTTCAAATATTTATTTTAGACCTAAATAAACAGTACCTTAAATTTCAAAGTTGACTATGATATTGTTTTCATCGTATTCCTTCTGTCCTTCTAATTTTTTCTTTCCGTGAGAAGAAATGAAACAAAATTATGAGGCATATACCAGTCAGATTTTTCAAACTATATTTTTCTACTTCTGAGTACTTAGTAAATACATATTAAGTTACATATATTTCACATAGATCACATAAACTAAAATCACATGCAGTGTAATGTCTTTAAAAATTTCCCTACAAGCTTACTTTCTGTTGTATCAAAACAAATCTCATTATTCTAAGTTGAAAATTCACCCAGATTTTTCAACTATTTTGATTAACTTTTAGCAATTAGCTTGGCCTTATTCTCCATACATATTACCAATTGTCAGATAGTATTAAATTGATTGAAATATGTTTTTAGACATTAAAATAAGTATCCAGTTCTATAATTCTGGATTTATGATTTTTCTTGTTTAAAAATAAGTTTTAATAAAATATTTTTCTATGCTACAGCCTGAAGATTATCAGCAATGTTTAATTGTATTTACTTATCATAAACTTATTTTAAAATAGATATATAGCTTTTTATAAAAAAATGTGTTGGTGCTTTTTTTGTGGAAAAATTTGCCTTATGAATCTAGAAAGTTTTGCTCTATTGCATAAAGTTGCCAAAATGATTTGTTTCACAATTACTCAGGATCACCATTCAGGACAGACATGGGACCTTATTTTTTTCCCCTGGAAGCATAAAAGCAACCTTATAGAAAGTAGGTTAAAAGATTGGTACATATGAAATGATCTTAAAAAATTTAGGCTTAAGTCTTCAGTAATGTACATTTCCTAGTTCATTAATGCAGAAATCCTGCACATAGATTTTAATCTCAGAGTTAATAATAAAAGCAATTTTCACTAAAAATATAAAAACTGTAATGGTAGAATCATGATATTGCATTTGGCTCTCCCACAAAAAGTCACTTTATTACTTTCTTTTGACACTTATTTTCATTCTGGGATTAATTTTACTATATAAGGGCTTCTTAACTATTCTATTAAAATTTCTATTCAGAAGCAATAATATCTAAGAGTGAATAATAGTCATGTAAATCATTATTTCATATTAATGTAAAAGATTTTGTAAGTTCTTATGAATTCTGCTGACATGCACAATTGTGAAAAGGTTATCTCTCCGTTCTACAGTGATATGCGCTGGAACAAAGGAACCATTCTAAAAGCATCAGTGGAGTACATCAAGTGGCTACAAAAAGAACAACAGAGAGCTCAAGAATTAGAACACAGACAGAAGAAATTAGAGCAGGCTAACAGGCGCCTTCTACTCCGCATTCAGGTTTTCATAAGAACATTGCCATGAACCATGTACCTTACGTATGACTTATCCATCATCAGTCTATTCATTGGTCGTGTTTTTTTTTTCTTACTAACAATTGTTTTTTTTCCTTCTCAAGGATAATTTTTATTGCCTTTTAGAAGTTCACAAATTAGACTGATTCAATTAGGTTTTGATTAGAAATCTAGGATCAAGTTGACTTTAAAAATATATAAGGAATGACAATAGCTAATTGCAAAATGCATAAAATAGAACCAATTTTATAAACACACAAATATTATCCCAGTCAAAAAATAGTAGTAAATAGGATCTTTGTTTCTTTGGATAATATTGGACATTAAATTTTCCTCTCCCTGTTTTATTTCTTTAGTAACACTGATACGGATTTTGTAGCCTTAAGGAATATTGTGCTAGTTTATATTAAGTCATGCGTCATCTTCTTATGTGATGCAAATCTCAAAATATAGGTTTTCATAACTCTCAAGATTTTTTCTTTAATATGTGAACAAGCTTATTGCCAGGTAAAACACTTGTTTCCATAAAATGGTCTTATATTGAGAAATTAATCAGGAAGAATGACTGAAAGATTTCCACTATCTCCAAATACTTGTCTTGTAATCTGAGCCACTGTGAGACCATTATATGTCATGTATTCTTTTAATGAACAAATGGGGAAGGAATTTTTTTAGAAATCTGAGTATTTTCCTCAGGATTATTTTTCAGGCATTAGAAACATACCACACTCTATTATTTGCAAAGAATATTTCTAATTTATACTACTCTTCATGTTGAGTGCTTGTTAGATCTATTTCTGACTTACTATCTAGAGTTGAGTTTACTATCAAAGTCATTATTTAACTACTCTTGTTTGATATTGCAGGAACTAGAAATACAGGCTCGTGCTCATGGTCTGCCAACCCTGGCTTCACTTGTCACAGTTGATTTAGGTGCTCACATCACCAAACAACAGACCCATCTAGAGCAGAATTCAGGAGACTATTGCCAACAGTTGGTTCTGTCTCAGGGGACAAGCCCTGAGCTCTGTGATCAAGCTATGGCCTTCTCTGATCCTTTGTCGCACTTCACGGATTTATCATTTAGTGCAGCTTTGAAAGAGGAACAGAGATTGGATAACGTGCTACTGGATGACACAGTATCTCCGTTTGGAACAGACCCTCTGCTATCTGCCACTTCTCCTGCAGTTTCTAAAGAGAGCAGTAGAAGAAGTAGCTTTAGCTCAGAAGATGGTGATGAGTTATAAAAAAAAAAATAAACAGGCTCAACTGATCAACTGGGAAGAAATTTTGTGCTGGTGCTATGCAATTACATTCTTCTTTCATACATTTCTCTCACTTAATTTTTCTGAAAGGAATATATTGGTCATGAAACACTGATTGGTTAGAAACAGCAGAATTTACAGGAAGGACAAACACAATGTTGAATTATTGACAGAAAAAAAGGTTTTTTTTTCCTCTTTGACCACTAAGTCCAAATCTACTTGAATTTTGTTTTTCTGGAAAGAGGCACAACATGAGAAATAGCTGTCTACTGATGTTTTAAAAGTAGTCACTTGATGATGAGCTATTGGAACTAAGAGACTGCAAGAATAAACCTGAAACATACAAATGTTTTCTTCCTTTTGAAACACGCAAAGATCAACAATCTGGTGGTTCATTGCCTTTCTACATTGTCTAGTGGATATGTTGTCTAAAGTTCAAGCCTTGTAGAGGAACTAAATAAATGATAGATTATTTACCACTTATAATTGAAAAGTAAATCTATAATAAACTCTAGAATTTTCCACAATAAAACACAGAAAATTTATAAAAACTTTGGATTCTAAAGACTCAAATTCCCTTCGTCAGTTCAATTACACAAATTCTAAAAGCTTCTTTGCATATTTATAGAGAAGACACGCACAGTCCAGAAAAGGAATACACTGAATCTTTTCCTCAAGAATATTGGTTTGAATTATATCATATCACTTCTCACAAATGTACTCCCCCAAACAGGTACAAAATGGAGGAAATATATGTTCTTTATTCCCCTTCATTCTTCTGATTTTCTAATCAGCATCTGAAATTACATACGAAATCATTTTTGCTTCATCAAGAAGAGATATTGGATAATCAGTCTCAGCAAATAAAATATTGAAAGTCTACCTAATAGGACAGTTTGTTAATTTGTTAAATAACACTTATCACTGTTTCAAAAACTGGATTTAAATTAACTAGTTGATAGTTTTCCTTCAAATTCATGAAATATTGAAAACTGGATTGCCAACTGACAAAATAATTAGTAAAACAGAAAAGCTTTCTTATTACATTCAGCTCTGAGTAAAAGATATAGTGCTATTCCTGTAAGTACTTAAAGTACCTTATGATCTTTGTTAGCATTTAATAAGAACATTTATACCTATGGTGATTTACTCAATTTTTTCTCTCTTGAGCTTCTTCAAAGGTTTGGTAATTGACTTACCAGGAATATTGCTCTGTGTTAGACCTGCATGAATAATCACCTGATCAATGAGCATTTAGGGAGAGATACTGAAAACTGCAATAAGTTTTATGAAAATATAGAACAGGTGAGCCAGATATGGTCTTACTCCTCAGGGAGTTAATGAGACTGCATAAGAAAACAAAACAAAAGATAGAAGACTTTGAAAATTTAAGTCTACATGGTGCGGTATAAACTGCAAATACCGAAGTTCAGAAAAAATAAAAATGAAAGTTGGAGAATCCCAAAAGTGTGTGGGAAGAGCAGAATTTAAAACTTCTTTTAAAAAGCATACATTTGATGGAGGGGAGGCTATACAGGAGAATAATATCAACTAAATGATAAAATGAGAATAAGTTGGGAAAGTATCTTCATGAGACATTCATTAGAGAGATCTAGAAGACGTCTGTTGGGAATCCTGAAAACTATTGGCAACAACTTATGAAAGTCTCTTTGAAGACCAAGATGAAATAATGTAGTAGATATATATATATATATATATTTTTTTTTACCAGGAAGAAGAAGTCTAAAAATTAAAATGCTGCTGTGTATTACTATGATTGAGATGTAGTCTTTCATGAATACTAACTTTGGGCTAAATTTTTGAAAGGATGCTTCAGGTTTTACTCACATGAAAAATACATCATCACAAAATTTGAGACTTATTGCTAATTAAAGTGGACAAATACTAAATCCTTATGGTGTGTTAATTATCTCAGGCTTGATTTACAGCACCAATTCAGAGTTTGGAGATTTGAAATAATTTTCACTTTTTGACATGAAAAAACTCTTAGTTATAGGAATAGTCATCAAAGCCAGATACATTAATTCATCTGAAATAGGTCACATGAAAGAAAGAATAAGATACATTTCCTCAAGAATTTGAGAACATTATATTGTTCAGTTGCTAAGTCATGTCCGACTCTTTGTCACCTCATGGACTGCAGCAAGCCAGCCTCCCCTGTCCTTTACTATCTCCCGGAGTTTGCTCAAACTTATGTCCATTAAATTGGTGATACCATTATATACTTTATTTCAAAATTCTACTTTATTATCTGAGTTGATAATTTAACATTGCAAATCATAGAGAAGGAATATATCTTAGAGTCAATGAAAAACACATCATTCTAGACAGAGGCTAATTTCTGTCTAATTTTATACATTATTATAATTTCTTCATATTCTAGAAAAATTACACTATTGATGTCATTAATTTGTCATCATTTTCCATTCTGCTAAAATACTACTACTCAGCCCTGAAAGCCATTTCTCATAATCTTGGCTAGTGAATGGCTTGACACAAGATGGTAGAGTCTGGATGAGAGAGATCTGGTAGAGGAAATATTTGCTGGAAAAGGTAATATTTGCTGCTACTTGCAGATTATAATAGCTATTAGGGGATTGTGAAATAGGTAATGAAATTTTAAAGACAGAGTAAGAGATAGTGTTTTGTCACAATCAACTGAATTAGATTAAAAAATTAATTTTAGTTCTTAACTTTTGAAGACCTTGAGAATTTATGGAAAGTTATAGACCTTCTCCCCAGAAAAATGCAGAGTTTATATATGCAGCCGTAAATTTATATGCATTAAGAGTTTTGCGGGATCTCCTGTATATCTCCTTGGATCCCAGATGAAAAATTCTCACATCAAGAGCAAAGAGTACAGTTAATGTCATATGTAATGAGAGAAGAAGGAGCCCTAGTTATCTGAATATCATTATCCAAGCTCCAGAAATGATAAAGTTGCTTTGGTAAGTGAAAGTGTACGAAACACTAGTTGCTTTCACTAAAGAAGTTGTGAATTCACTTATAAAATAGACCCTCTCTAACAACCCCTGTTATATATATGCCTCTGTTATATATTTATACATTTATGGCTCAGTTTCTCTGTGATAATTAGATATCGCAAGTATCTGACGATGATATTTTTTAAAGTTATATATACATATATATTTACCAAAGTAGAGATAATACAAATTCACAGGCAAATTATTTGAATATCTAAGAATCAAAAATGATCCTTAGGAAAATTGATGCCTGTAATATTTTTGCAGAAATGAGACATACAACAGTACATTTGATTTAGGAGAAGTGAAGTTGCTCCGTTGTGTGCCACCTCTTTGCAATCCCATGGACTGTAGTCTACCAGGCTTATCCATCTGTGGAATTTTCCAGGCAAGAATACTGGAGTGGTTTGCCATTTCCTTCTCCAGGGCATCTTCCCTACTTGGGGACTGAACCCAGGTCTCCTGCACTGCCAGCAGATCCTTTACCCTCTGAGCCACCAGGGAAGCCCATGTACAACGGTAAAACAGATACATTGTCTAAAATAATTTTATCACAATAAACATCAGCTATCACTGCACTATTAATACATAATTTAACCAAGCCTTGTTCATGCAAATAATTATATAATTGCTATCATAATAAAAACTTTGTTAAAATGAAATAAAACAATTTAAAAATTATTTTTATTTATTTTTGAAGATAAGGTCCCATGAAATCTTTTTTCTCTGAAGTATTGGCTTCCTTTCCCTGGATTCACATTAAATAACCCTTCCAACTCCTAATTATCTTAAAATAACAAGGACCACTTACAAGTAGATGTAGCTTTCTGTATGTTTTATCTTTTCAGTGTCCTTTCTTCTTGAATTTTCCCCATAACTGGAGAATATATATACAGATAATATTTCCTCAGTTTACAGATGTGAAGTCAGTGGCTATCGCTTTCTATGTGTGAGTGCAAAAGTTCTAAGAAATAAGTAGCCAGATGAACTGGGAACATTGAGAAACAGCCTTCCTCTACTTTTTAAACTCATTCTTTGCCACTCACTTCACTGTAAATAAAATATTTAGTAGCTCTTTCTTTAAAAAATAAACACAATGAGTTTTTTGATTTGGTATGCTCATTTACCTTCATGTCAAGGGAGAAGTTAGATTTCACAAGGTAAAATATAATTTATTTTTTCTTTGTTTTGATAGATTGAGTCATACTGGAATTTTCTTATACTTCAAACTATCATGAAAATATTTTTTACTCTTCTGATATTGTGGAATTTTGATATTTTATAATGTCTCTAGGCTGATATTTACCTTCCTTATAAGATCTAAGATGGAGATGAAAACTGGAATCAATTAATCATTTTGCTATGTTATCAACACTAGATCAGCCATCTGGGTCTCTTGAAAATACCTGAAGAACTGAATTTTGCTTCAGTATTGATAATGGCACAGCCTATATCTGTTACATGGAATTACATCATTTGCCCTTCTGACGCCCTGCTTGTTGATAAGTACAAGATGTAAATTTGATTTAGTGTAAATTACACATACAGTGATTTCATTACATTTACTTAATAAATACTTAACACAAAATTTAGAGTGTTGCATATCTAATGCATCTTATAATCTTCCTGTAATCATTATTCATTGTATACATCAATATTTTATCATTTGTATGATTTCTAATTTGTATATGAAGTATTTAAAACCTGATAAAAATAGTTTTCTTAAAATTTCTCTGTGCTACATTTGTTTTCTGTGAGAGTCATAGAGTGTTTTAGTATATAGGAGATTATCCAAAAATAATTATTTTCATTAAAAAACTTCCCGCTGGATTCAACCAATTTAATGATGAAATACTTTATCTGCTGCTTTATACACAAAAGGGAACTTTTAATCTTTTTGTTGGAAAGGGATTTGTGCAGTTATTTCTACATATTTAAATTTCTATTGTGTTTTAAACTGATGAAATCTTCAGTTACATGTCTTTTTTCCCTACATTTATCTAACATGCTTCAAGAATAAAGCTAAAGACTTTTGTGTTTCCAATTCTACCTCTCCTATTCCTACACTACCATTTTGTTTAAAAAAATTCTGTATTCTCAATGCTGCTTTTTTCCACAGAAATAAATTTTATTTGTATGACACTTAAAGCTAGTGATTATATATAACAGATAAAATAGAAAATATGCAAAATGTGCTGAAAGAATTATATGCAACCAGTTATATTATTCTTTATTTCATGAATACTGAAGTTTAAAAGCTAACTAAATTCAAGGATCTTATCTAAGAACATTGAAGTTGCTTATGGCATAAAATGCTAAAATTGATTCAGTGATTTAATCTTAATAATAGCAACGTAGTTAAAAATCTTTGACTTTAATAGCATTTTATATATTTGAATAAGTGAAATAATATTCCTATAATTTTGATCTAATATTGGTTAGATCAAGAAAACATTGTTAGTATAATAAGACTGTAGAATTTATAACTATTGCTATTTTTCATTTTTAATAGCAAAGTAATATGTCTTATTTTCTAAGAAAATAGCACTGGTGTTCTCTGATACATACATGAATCTTTGTACACATACTGTAAAAAATGAACCAATATTTTCTTTGCATATGTATATATATTTAAAATGAAAGCATAGAATTGTTAAATGCTTTAATATACTTTTTGTTCTGACTTTGTACATAAACTGCACTGAAAAATACAGAATGTCGGGTAATCATCTAAAAGGATACTTAGCAGCCCTGAGACTTCACAACTGACAACTGCTTACTTGATAGTCCATGCTGAAAACAGTAAGCCAATATTTCCTTATTAATGAAAGTAATTGTTACATTTTTCAATATAGTTTCCTACCATCTGCTTCTTCATGCTGTTATGGTTTTGATTTACGGAAAATATTTATCAAAATGTTGCAAAATTGCTAGCAGGCATAATTGCAGCAGTGAAATTACTAAGAAGCTCTGCAAAATCTTTTAATATTCTAGATAGTCCCCAGACAATCTAGGATAAATAGAATACTGTACTTTAATACGTAAAACATTTAAAAACTGCTAATTGGTATTGACTAGACCTATCCCTTGATAATGAAATTAATAAGAATTTCAGTTAAATGTTAAGACTTCTAATATTTAATACCATGTTTATGAATTTTTTTCTACATACCTGCCTAAAAAGTAATAAAATAGGATGGCTCTGAGTTGACTATAAAATGCTATTCTATGTTCAAATATAGATTCATTGATTTTTTAAAAAAATGTTATATCAGATAAATTTTTTTCTTAATGCATTATCAATGCTAAAAATACTGATCAAAAATATAATAATTTCTGTGTAGAAAGTAATAACCAACCTAATGAGGTAAAGGTAATTTAGGATGATCTTTTTGACACTGTATAGACTGAAAAAAGGATAACTGAATGGGTTCTACACTTGATTGTTTATTGTATGTATATGTACATATGCAGTGTGTTTGAGTATAAGTGCATCTCTGCCTATGTGGGAGCTTACAAAAAAGTTTTCTTATCTCTTGATATTAGGAATGACTCCACATATAAGAACATTTTATTCTTGTGTGTGTGTGTGTGTGTGTGTTTGTGTGTGCTCAGTTGTGAATGACTCTTTGTGACCCTACCAGACTCCTCTGTCCATGGAATTTTCCAGGTAAGAATACTGGAATGGGTTGTCATTACTCCAAGCTGCTGCTGCTGCTGCTAAGTCGCTACAGTCCTATCCGACTCTGTGCGACTCCATAGACGGCAGCCCACCAGGCTCCTCTGTCCCTGGGATTCTCCAGACAAGAATACTGGAGTGGGTTGCCATTTCCTTCTCCAGGGGATCTTCCCAGTCCAGGGATTGAACCCTCTTCTATTAAGTCTCCTGCATTGGCAGACGGGTTCTTTATCACTAGCCCCTTGTTACTTTTTATTGGAGCCTACTGATAGGCAACAGCTGAGAAAGAGAAGAGAAGCAGTGCAACTCAGTTATGTCTGACTCTTTGGCGACCACATGGACTGCATCCCACCAGGCTTCTCGGTCCATGGAATTTTCCAGGCAAGAATTCTGGAGTGGGTTGCTATTTCCTTCTGCAGGGAATCATTCTGACCCAGGGATCGAACCGGTGCCTCCTGTATCTCCTACACTGGTAGGCAAATTCTTTATCACTGCACCATCTGGGAAGCCCCCCAGATTTCTTCTTCTCGAAAGGGATGCACACACACACACACACACACACACACACACTCCTTATTCAGAGTTGAGTCAAAAAGATGGAAAAGATGAAGAAAGTTGTAGCATGTTTTAACATTTTTGTTAAGTGAGATGGGCACCTGCAAACAACTTGGATATAATACAAGCATTGATTTTGTTCACCACCAAAATTAATATTGAAACCCACCTAAAAAGTTATTATTATTATCACCTGCCGAGTTCTAGCTGTGGGTTGGTTAAGTAGTAAAATACAATAAGGTTTATTGGTTAAGCACTGGATACACATCATGTTAAATATATATCGGTTTCATTAATTGGCAAGACCATAAATAAGAGTACAACATTCTAGATGGTGATGATTTTGATAGGATCGACCACAATGTGGTTAAGTATATAATTCATGTAATAAGAAAAAGGTGCCTGCAGGCTATTGTTCCTAGCATGGATTAAAATTTACATATTGCTTCTCCTTATGTCAAAACATCTGGTGCCTGCAAATGCTAACATTTCGTTAAAAAGTTTCACAAGCCAAGAAAACTGGATTGGAAACATTGCATGTGAATCATTCAAGCATTATAATAGAATAAGAGCTATATTCAGAAAAAATTAAATTGCTGCAAACAATACCATAGTCAAGATTATAATTTATTTGCTTACACAAGTGAAAGGTGATGCTGTGTGTTTCTGTGGAGAAAAATAGTATTTGCATTATACGATTATCTCTTCAAAAATACTTATTTCATATAATTATATAGAACAAGTAGGTTTCTAAGTCCTTTAAGACTTTATAATCACTCTATGTTAGAAGTAGTGTGTAGTTGTATAAAACCCGTTCTAATATTCCTAAGGACAGGAAGAGGGGACCCCTGAGACTTTATTCATTCTGGCATTAAATTTCTACTTATTCATTGGTAGATATAAAAAGCAGATACATATGAATTAAATTTTTTTTTTTTTTTGAGTACATGAATTGCCTTTTCTACCTAGGCCCTCAAATCAATAAAGTTAGTTCTTCCAACTTCTATAGCATCACCTTTCTCTTGTGTCAGCAAATAAATTGTAATCTTGACTATGGTATTGTTTGCAGCAACGTTTTCCTACTTCAAGAATTTTTCTCACCACCCCAATCGACTGTTACCATTGTTATGGTCCTTGCTGGCTATAGCAGCTAGCTGCTACTTAAAATCTATCTTTATATTGCTGCTTTTCATAGCCATGCATATATTACCTTCTTCAGTAGATGAATGGGCATTTTAAGCAAAAATTATGCCTTAGCTTTCTCTGTATCTCACATTATTTAAAACAGTGTCTTGCTTATCATGCTGTTTTATTAATAAATGATTAAGTGATGGTTAACTGTAGGTAAAGAAAGTGTGTAAGTGTCAGATTCTTCAGATAATGATATGGTGCTCACTCAAAGCTGTGACCATTCATTGAAATGCATCTCTTCCTGTCTCTCTTTGTCAGTTCTTTCAATTGCAGTGAGATAAGTATGTGTCTTCTTTCAGTTTATTTCAAAAATCAGTTCCAGAAGTGAAAATAATAACAAAAGCTACAACAATGGATATAGAGACATGTTCTACTCTAGAATCCATCCACTTACTCATTCACTCTTTCTTTAATAAATATCTCCCCAAAGAACAGTGGTTGTTGATAAGAGGACTATAAACGATGATCTTTCAATAAGGTGTATATGTGCTGTGCTGGCAGGATTAAGTGTGCTATGGAAGCACAGTTCAGTTCATTTCAGTCGCTCAGTCTTGTCCGAAGATTTGCAACCCCATGCAGTCAGGGTATCTGGACCAGCCTCAGGACACCTGAAATCTAAAGGCAATGTGGGGGCTGGCCTGGTTCAAGAAGGGGAAGTGAGAAAGAGAAGGGAGAGGATTCTTTAAGTAGAGGCAATCAATTAGACTACTATGATTGGTTAGAGAACTCATGAATGCTTTTAGTATAACTCTTTGAGGTTAGAAAATTTAGATTTATTTGGAGTAATTAGCCTTAAAATCTTACTTCTTTATCAAGCAGGACACAAGTTATTCAGGCACTTGGCCAGAGGGCTTTTTCTCTGCCCCAAATAAGAAAGTACTTAGTGTGTGGGAATGCGAAGAGGAGGTGTAGGAGGAAGAAGTATACTGAGATGGTAAACTGTTCTCAAATAGCTTCCAGAGGGATCTTTTTCTTATTAGTATTAAACATATAGTAGCCCCTATGTTTACCTTTCTAATACGTTTTCCACACTGTGTGTGAATGCCCAACAATCCCCAATAACACCTTGCCTCTTTCTATTAATAATTTGTGTGTGTGTGTGTGTGTGTGTGTGTGTGTGTGCTCAGTCTTAGCAGTTGTGTCTGATTCTTTGCAACCCCAGGGACTGTGGCCCACATGGGTCCTCTGTCCATGGAATTCTCCAGGCAAGAATACTAGAGTGGATTGCCATTTCCTTCTCCAAACGATCTTCCCAACCCAGGGATCACACCCATGTCTCCTGCATTTCAGGTGGACTCTTTACTACTGAGCCACTGGGGAAGCCCTTAATACCCTTAATACTCTATACATTTTATTTAAGAAACCTAGTGCAAAAACTAATGACACATAAGTAGAAAGGGATACTATATCCTTGAATTGGAAGAGTCAATAATGTTTTCGATCCTCCCTACATAAATTTATAAATTTCATCAAACCAAACAGGTTTTTGTTAACCAAGCAAGTTGATATTAAACTTTATAAGATAAACAAATAAGAAAAAAGGGAAACATTTGAAAAAAAAAAGAGCAATGAGGGGAGACAATGGCAACCAGATATTAAAACATATCTTTCAGTCTGATTGTTTAAAATTCTGTGGTCTGGGACATGAGTAAACAGACAATCCACAGCATAAAAATAAGCCTAAGTACATACTGGAATTAAACAGAAAAGAAACAGTTTTTACTTAGTAATATACATGTGTGTGTATATTATATATATGTTGCATGCATAGAAATGTTCTCCTATAGGTGATAAAGAGAAAGATAGGAATATGTATTTATATTTGCTGTATATGTGAAAATAAGCTGTTAAAGGACGTACAAGAACCTAATGCCTGTGTTAAAGGTGGAGCAGCTCTGGGGGTATTTTCACTACATATCTTTTCATTATTTTTTTCTAAATTTTGAAGCATATAAATGCATTTAGTCAACAATTTAAGACATGTGGTATGTTTATATTAAAAGTTTATTGACCCAGTTGTCTCTATTTTCATTCTCTTCATTCACCCATAGTGCTGTCAGCAATCTTGCTTTTCAAATCCCTTTGGCCAGTGACAGTCCTTACTTTCCTGTTTGAAGACAAGAAAGGCAAATGAGGCAAAACAGAAGTAGATAGGTATACTTATTTGGAGGGATATTCTCAGAAGTAATTAGATCTCCACCCTGATATAAACATTAGCTAAGACCCCTGCAGTAGGCAGAATAATGGCTCACTCCTGCCAAAGAGTCCACATTCCAATTCCTGGAAACTGTGAGTATCTTAATGACAAAGAGGACTGTGCAGATGTGATTAAGTTAAGGATATTAAACTGGTAGATTACTTTCTAAGTGGACCCAGATTAGTTACATGGATCCTTTAAACCAGAGAACCTTTCCAAGCTGTGGTCAGAAGGAGAGGAGACTTCATCATTGTCCTGACAAACAGTACTCAACTGAGATAGAAGCTGTGTCATCAGTCACCATCACAGAAGTAAATGCAGGGCTAGGATCCCAGATCAGGTGATTTCAGACCAATGTGCTCTACTCATGTTGCAGAATCCCAGTCTAGCTACAGGGGCAGCTGATACAATGCTTGCAATACAATTATTTCCTCAATGAAGGTTTACTGGATGGATATGACTTGGAATTTGTCAGTACATGAAGGCATACACAGTAAAGAATTTGTTCAAGCTTTTACATTTTAAAAATGAGGAAAATAATACTAACTATGTAAACTGAAATTTTAAAGGTGTCTAACTTAGAGTGGTGTGAGTAGTATGGATAGATCATTAGTGAGTGCAGTGGAATAGGTACAGCTTTTGTAGATCACTGAAGAAAGCATCAGGGAGATAAAGACTGCTTGTAGTGGACTTGATATTCAAAGTTATGAGTGTGGTCTCAGAAAAAGGAAAAAGAGAAAAGAAGGATGGAAGAGCTAAAAGTAAAAGGAAGTAAAAGAGGACGGAGAAAGAAGAAGAGGGAAGGCCAAGGAGAAGGGGAAAGGGGGAGAGGAAGAAGACAAAGACAAATAAGAGATGGAGATGTATCATTTCAATAAAAAACAAAGACTACCTGTTTTCTTTTAAATTACTCAGAAGAGGAAAGAAAGAAGGTTGAGGTTTTTTATTTTTATTGAAGGATAATTACTTTACAGAATTTTGTTTTTCTCTGTCAAACCTCGATATGAACCAGCCACAGTTATATATGTATCCCCTTCCTTTTCAACCTCCCTCCCATCTCTCTCCCCATCCCACCCCTCTAGATTGATACAGAACCCCTGTTTAAGTTTCCTGAGCCATACAGCAAAGTCCAGTTGGCTCTCTATTTTACATATGGTAATATGTTTCCATGTTACTCTTTCCATACATCTCACCCTCTCCTCCCTTCTCCCCATGTCCATAAGTCTATTCTCTATGTCTGTTTCTCCATTGCTGCCCTGTAAATAAATTCTTCAGTACCATTTTTCTAGATTCTGTATATATGTGTTAGAACGTGATATTTATCTTTCTCTTTCTGAGTCACTTCACTCTGTATAATAGGTTGTAGGTTCATCCCCCTCATCAGAATTGACTCAAATGTGTTCCTTTTTATGGCTGAGTAATATTCCATTGTGTATATGTACCACAATTTGTTTATCCACTCATCTGTTGATGGACATCTAGGTTGCTTCTGTGCTCTAGCTATTGTAAATAGTGCTGCAATGAACAATGGGATACATGTGTCTTTTTCAATTTTGGTTTCCTCAGGGTATATGCCTAAGAGTGTGGTTGCTGGGTCATATGGTGGTTTAATCCTAGTTTTTGAAGGAATTTCCATACCGTCTACCATAGTGGCTGTATCAATTTACATTCCCACCAACAGTGCAAGA